TTCAACAATAGGTCTGGGTCCCACAGTAAAGGCACAGCTCATTTGTTTAGGGATCTGTAATTTGAATCAGCTTCTTCTCCTCTTGGTTGTGGCAATGCCACACAGCTGCCAAATGACAGAGCCAGAATGCAGATCCAGGGAGTCAGGTTTTCTAGGGGGTATTTCTCTCCAGTGCACAACACTGCCTCCCTCTACCACCCACTTGCTCACACATCTCACTGAGCTCTCTAGTTTTCTTCTATTCTTGTCTACTGGATAGGCCAACTTCCTGCTCTCCCTTTTCTCCTTACAAGTCCAAAACCTAATCATACTGACCCAGAAGAGTTGAAGATGATAGTGTCCTCATAAGATGGAAAACCATGAAATAGGACTTTTAAAAATGGCTTATTTATCTTGGGGTTCTCTTTAAAAGCATCTGGCTCTGTGGATGACTCAACCTCCATGTAGCTCTGGATGAGTCCAGAAAGCCTGACTTTTCTACCTGAAGAACATTTCTATGTCCCCCTCCTGTAAGAAATGGCCACCCATAATCTATCCCTCTGAGTTTGTTCATCTTCCTCTGAGATTATGGAATAAAGCAACAGAGAAAAATGCTCAGAGAGAATATACATCCTTTTCATTTTTACTTTAAAGATATTTTTGAACAATAATTTTTAAAGCACCTATAACGCTGCTGTGATTTTTTAACAGGCACATTTGCACATCACATCTATCATGCTATTTACACGATGTTATGTGAAGACACAGCTCAGAGTATTTTTATGAAATGGCCTTTTATCACTGGAAGCACAAGAAAGTGTTTACAGATTGGTCTCTGAAATCAAATTAGGCTAGCACGTTGGTTAGTTTCTGTAAAGTGTGGGCATTTCTGTAAGTGGTTCATATTCCCTTAATCCTTTTGATCATTTGCACTGTGTATTTTTACACAAGTTCTTTTACTTTGGAGAAATAAAGTAAAGAAACTTAAAGGTGAGTTTGGCGAGGGCATCTCAGCACTATTTATCAATGCAGATGGATCTTGAATTTTAATGGTAGCAGTTTCTTTGAAACAACCAAGCTTCTTTAAACCTCTCCACAAATCATGTCAGTACTCAGATGATGTCTGAAAATGTTTGTTAGTGGGTGGAAATCTTTCTTGATCCCGTATTGCTAGAAAGGAAAAGCCTAAATCTACACAATATTCTTGACAGCCTCAGTGTTGATTACTATACAGCCTTGATTTCTTAATCTGGGCCATTTCTTACATGACATTTCCAGTCACAAGGTGACTTTGGCTTTGTACACTGAAGAGCCTAGCACAGGATTATAGAAGTAGCCCAAGCTTCACCTTTGATTTAAATCTTGACTGAACTTTGCCACTTACTTGCTGAGGGAACTTTGTGTGAGAAAACTTATTGAGAGCCTTGGTTACAGATGGGGACCAGATTTTTCTTGAAATATTGTTATGAACGTTAAATGACATCAAGTACCTGCCAAATTGTCAGTATAAAGTAAATAGCAATGGCTTTTGCTATGGTTAAACCCATTGCCATAGAGCCAATTCCAACTTATAGAGACTCTGTAGGACAGAGGGTCCTAAAAAACCTGATAAGGTTTCCAAGGCTGTAATCTCCATGGAAGCAGACTGCCACATCGTTCTCCCATGGAGTGACTACTGGGTTTAAACCACTGATCTTTTTGGTTAGTAGTTGCTGTGGTTAGGACATTATATTTTAATGGTTATAAAATATTTCATCATGTGACTACACCATAATTTTTTTCTCTTTTTGTTTGATTTTTGTTTTCTTAAGAGTACTCTACTATTGTAATAGTGATGAAGTACATTTTTTTTGTGTGTATACATATTTTTTTCCATTATTTGAGGCTGTATCTCTGGGATAGATTTCTTGACCACTAACTAAGATGAGTGAACATCTTTATGGTTCTAGCTACATATGCCAATGGGTTTCAATAAACTGCCACCAGTCACATAAATGTACCAATTTCATTGTATACTCAATAGCCCTAGGTTCACTTTTAAGCATTTTTACAAAATGTAATAAGTAAAATATGGCATTTTAATATCTTAATATACATTTATTTTATCACTAATGATGTGCTGGCACAGGACCAAACAGTGTTTCATTCTGTTGTACAGTGGATCACTATGAGTGGGAGCAGACTTGACTGCACCTAACAACAACAATGATGAGCATTTTTCATATTATTTCTTCCTATGTGAATTGCCTGTTTACATCTTTTGCCTTTATTTCTATTGTGGTTTCAATGCTTTTCTTACCAAATATATCTGTCATATAACATACTGTTGCTAAAGGGTTCTAATGTTTATATAGTTGATTTGTTCCTTTAAACATTTCAAAATACAAGATAATAAGATTGTTAAAGTAGATCAAAAGTGGTTTTACAATGATATGATTACTATACTTAATGCATCTTCTCATAATTCCCCACTATCATTCTTTTCATATATCTTAGCATAAAATCTATTGAGATTGCTACCTTGCATGACTGTTCAAATACAAATTGTGCAGACTAACAAGTTAATAATGAAACATTGATAACCTGATGTAAAAAGGTCAGGAATAAAAATTAGACCAAATAATAAATTAAAATTGCTAATTAATCATAAAAAATTTTTACCTTACTACTAATTGAATTCATTCAATATGTAACAATAGTATACTATTTTCCAGCTATAAATTGCTAAGGATTAGAAATATTGTAATAGTGACTGAGATTGGCCCTCAAAGATGATACTGATGGGAGAGAAAATTGAAAAACAGTTTGGCACTAGATATCAAGAAACTTAAAAATATTATAAACATTGGCTTAGAAATTCTGCTTATTTTAATGTCGATTGAGACAGCCTAAGAAATCTGGAAAACTATTTATATACAATATATTTGTACTTAAAAATTCAATCTAATTGCCCAGGTGATTGCATAGGTAACTCCATCTAATGGAGTGTGATGAACTCATTATAAATGATGTTTTCTAAAAATTTCAATGACATGGGGAAATACAGTATACTGGCAAGTGGGATAAGATTCAATGATCACATAAAATAATTTTTGTATGGAGTGGCATGTGTGTATATCTGGTACATGTCTATTAAGAGACACACAAATATTGATAGTATGAAAAAAAAAAAAAAGAAACCAAACTCACTGCCATCCAGTTGGTTCCAAGTCATAGGGACCTCTCCTTGGGTTTCAGAGGCAGTATCTTCATGGAAGTAGATTGCTCAACCTTCCTTCCGAGGAGTGGCTGGTGGGTTTGAACCAGCAGCCTTCTGGTTAGCAGTCAAATGCCTTAGGCACTATGCCACCAGAGCTCCCAATATTGATAGTAATCATTTTATATGATAGGATTATAGATGATTTTTCTTTTCTTTTCTTCATAGTTCTCTACATTTTCTAAGCCTCTCACATTTACAAATATTGTTTCTACAATCAGAAAGAAATTTAAATAATAAAAGAAAGGTTAAAAGTAATTAATAGATTTCTTCTCTTTTCTGGATCCATGTTCTAAATGTTTACCTTGCTCTCTTTGCTTTGATGTATTGGAAAGAAACCTGGACAAGAAATCAGAAAGCATTTCTTCAGGTAATGACCCAGTAACTCACTAGTTGTGTGACCTTGGATAAATCTACTAATTTGTATCTCTCTTTTTCCATCTGTAAAATGGAGATTTTTACCTTCCTTGTCTATATCATCAAGGAGCTCTGGTGACATAGTGGGTAAGACATTTGGAGCTAAGATCAGTGATTCAAACCCACCACCTGTTCTGTGGGAAGAAAATGAGGCAATCTACTTCCATAAAGATTTACAGCCTTGGAAACCCAATGGAGGTCACTATGAGTTTGAATCCACTCCATGGCAGTGGGTTTGGTTTGGTTTGTCTATATCATCAGATTTGTTGTTGTTGTTGTTATGTGCCGTCGAGTCAAACCCGACTCATAGCGACCCCTCCTTGGGTTTCTGAGGCAGTATCACTACGGAAGTAGGATTGCCCAACCTTCCTTCCGAGGAGTGGCTGGTGGGTTTGAACCGCCAGCCGTCTGGTTTGTAGGCAAGTGTCTTAGCCACTATGCTACCAGAGCTCCCATATCATCAGATAGTTGTGAAAGTTAAAGTGAAGTAACTAACATAAGGAGAAAAAATAAACAAAAACCTTTGCAGGCTAAGTTGAGATGGGAAAGGAAAATAATATAGAGGTGAATTTAGTTTGGAGGGGACTCTTATTTACCATATCCTAAAACTATAAAATAAGAAAGGATATGTATTCCATAGGTGGAAATGGTACTGCAAACCCCTGGTTCCCTAAACCCAGGGCTACCTTTGAGGATAGGTAACCACTAACAGCGAATACTGCAAAGATTCATTTGCTACAGTAGTAGTTTACTACAGAGACAAATTAGGCTGAGAAAACACTTACAGATCCCCTGGGTATTTCAACCTGACCCTTGCCTCAGTGTTTAACAGCACAGCAAATATGTCCCTCTATTAACTAATTTATCTAATGCGAACCAGTTATAAGCCTGTTTTTTGTTTTTAAATAGGTTTTCTATCTGGCACTATCTCCCTGTGTAGTGCAGCAGAGTTTACTACATATAGCAGAGGATGATAAAAAATAAATTGGCTCATTCACTTTTCAGAGTTTTCAAACCTTCTTGAACCCTATGTCAGATTCACTCTATCGGGTTTCATGAGTGAGATTAGAAAAATGCAAACTCCAGTTTGTTTCCTCGTGAACTTAAAAAATAAATTGGAACACAATCATGTTCAGGAAACTTGCTAGAGGATAACTCTGTACTTTTCTAGAAAAAGAACCAGTGACAGGGATTTAGATGAAACTGAGAGTTAAAGTACAATTATCCTTGCACCTTTCCTCTTGAGGGAAGAATTTCAGATGTGTTTATTGGCTTTTGGAACAAATAACTTGTAATAAATTGATGTTGTCGGTGAATTTTGGTTGTGTGTTGTTCTGTTCCTTTCAAGGAAAAACCGGCCATGCAGAAGTAGTCCGAGTTGTGTACCAGCCAGAACGCATCAGCTTTGAGGAACTGCTCAAGGTCTTCTGGGAGAATCATGACCCGACACAAGGTAGAGTGATGAGTGAGCCAGTATTTAATTATCTTACTAATTACAGCTGGGATAATTAGTATTTGAGCTGCATGGAAGAGATGAACCTTGAAATCACACAGGAGCTCAAGAATATGATTGCAGACATTTATTGACGGAGAAGAGGAGGGGCTGGGGAGAAAGAGGGTGAGAGAATAAAGGCGCAGCCACATTCAGCGCCCCTCCCCCCTTTACAGCTGTCAGGGGTGGGAAAATTCCCACAGAGAAAGACGCCAGACAATAGAGATCCATTCACCTTTGATTATTGCATTATTCCTCCTTAATGCAGTCTTTTGTCTACAAAATTAAAGTGTCTTTCTAGCAGCTCCAAAGTTTTCCTGATTTATGGTTCTTTTATTTCCCTGAATTTAGCCTTTCTCGTCTTTTGACGTTATCAGTTTTTTTTGTTTTCTTAATATCTGTGATTGATAAGAAAAGAAATTGAACATAAAGGTAAAGTGCAATATTCAGTGGGTCCACAGTGCTTTGGTTTTTAAAATACATCATTTGTGTTCTTTGGAGTTTGGTATATGGAGATATTAATATATTTTGGCAATAAACAATGGTGGGCAGAAATTTTATTTAAATGCACACACATGCAAAAATCCCATGTTGGCAAATATCACTGTAACATTCAGTAATAAAGCAGCTTCCAAATTTTGTTTTATCAGCCTTACAAGCACCATTTTGCAAATATAATGATCTGATATTATGGAGTTTATGAACTAAGAAGTCCTATATAATATATGTGATTTTCACAACCCCTGTTCATTTATCAATCAGTCTGTTTAGCAAAAATATTTTCCCTTTGGTGTCAGGTTTTTGTGTAGTGGGTATGCAATGTTGACTGGCTAGTGACGGGTAGATGTGCGTTTCCAGATGTGTGTCAAGCTTTGTGGTGGAATCTTCATATGACCCCAGCAGCACAGGCTGATGGGTTCTGAGTTTTGGTTCTAAGAACTGTCCAAAGCCAGAGTGATTTGGCAGAAGCCAAAAGTCAGAGCCAAAGCAGGAGCAGTAGAGCAGAGCTCTTGATAAACCAGAGCAAGGCAGAGCAGGTCAGGGATTCAGGCAGATCCACCAGGGTAGATGAAAGCTTGAGGGCTGGACCTACGAAGAAAGCTAGGGGCAGGGTTTTCATCCCTGGTAGGGGAGGAACGAAGTATGGGACAGGAGAGGTAGAAGATTAGTATATAATCAAAAGACTCACATGTCACTACTGTTTGGAGTACTGGATTGTCATATCATATAAAGAAGGCAGGCCTAAGCGGTAGACAAGCTTGACTAAACAGGAACCTGACTAGTGGGCATTGTAAATAGGAGTGGTGATGGTTAGGACCTCATGCTGGTAAGTCTTCTAGCTTGAAGGAGCAAACCATTCACCCATTTAACTGTCACAGCCAAGGATGAAGGTGTGATAACCAGAGCTCCAAAACTGTTAATGAAGACATGCATCTGGAGCCCAAGAAAGCCTGAAATATCGTAGGAAACTATCCCAGAGGTTCACAGTGTTGAGTAGGTATCTCTGGCCTGGCTAACCACAACACTGTGTGTCCTGATAGAATCTCCGTAGGCCCAGTCCTGGCAAAATATCTAGGAGGATGATCTGTCATAGACTTCTCTCTCCATACCTCTCTTAACTTCTGCATTTTATCGTATATTTACTTACACACCCCAGCTAATTTGGTCACTAGTCATGGCCCTTGAATCTCTAGAAAATTCTAATTTGGAAGACCTGCTATTCTCCTCCTCCCCACTATTAAATCTTGTCTCAACTGTGCCTCAGGCCTTACAATTCAACTATCGCTTTTGAAATTAATAGTTTATTGTCTATTAATGTATTTAATGACTGATATTAGCTTTGGTTACTATTCTTCCAGAGATATTTTGTTTCTAACAGAGGATCCATACACTCAGAGGCCATCGGGTTAAACTTCACAGACTAGACTCTTTTGATTTCAATACTGTTAGACAAAAGACTAAATTGCTAATGGTGGAGTTTATGGATAGCATGTTTTGATTTGTTGAGTGATATGTTTTTCCACTGATATTTTGGACAAATTACAGATATTGGAGGATAATTTTTTTACCCTTGAATATATTTGTTCCCATTCATGTAGTACTTGATGTAGTGTAACAGTCACACATATGAAATCACAGGATACCTTGTCTTTTCAAGTTATTATTCAAAGTACTTTTTTAGATATCAGTATAATGGACTAGAATAACAATATTTTTCTGCCTTGCAAGGTTTCCCAAGACCCTTTTGAAAATAAACTCTGCTTCACTGGACAAAGGAGTTCATACATGACATGACACAGACCTGGCCAAACAAAATATCTTGTCCTACTCTTATGAACGGTGTTTGATTCAAGGAATAGGAATGTGACTCAAGCAGAACTAATTAAGATTCCTTCCCTGGGTTGTTACATGAGAGAGAAAGATCTCGTTTTGCTGGGGATACCAATCTAGAGCTGCTCTCTATGTGCTAAGAGCCTGTCTACAGCAGAAACAAAGGCGCAAAATAGGCAGAGACACTGAGAGATGAGACAGTAAGAGAGAACATACAAGAGACATTGAGTCCCAGAGGCCCCTCATTCCCATAGCTCTTTCATCAGTTTTCAGAACTCTCCTGATAGATTTCCAAGGTAGGAGAGCTACTAGGTTCCTTTTTTTTTTTTTTTTTTTGCTTAATCTAGTTTGTTGGGCTTCTGTCACAACAATAACAGCAACCAACAAAATCCCAACTAATACACTCATTCAATGTAAACAATCACTGTATTCATTATATTCAGTAATTCTTGGTTAATCATACTTATTTGGCTTTATAAACCAGAGGTTCAAAAACCATTTGGTTAATAGTTTTACCATTGACTCACTTGTGGAGTAGAGGACACTAACAATTGTTTCTTTAAGACTTGTTGACAGTTTGATTAGAAGTTTTCTTGGCAAATAAGAATTGGGGTTTATGAAAATATCAGACTCTCTGTTAATATCTTTAAACTACTGCAAAAATCAATCATTCGTTAACATTTATATTGTGTCTGCTCTGTTTGCCAGGCACTCTGCTGAAGACCTGAAAAAACCCTAAACCTGTTGCCGTGAAGTTGATCCCAACTCATAGTGACTCTATGAGTTTTACAGAGTAAAACTGCCCCATAGGGTTTCCATGGCTGTACTTTTTCTCCTGTTGAGTGCATGGTGGGTTCCAACTGCTGATCTTTTGGTTAGCAGCTGATTACTTAACCATTGGACCTCCAGGGCTCCAGAACTCTGCTAAAAA